GGTTTTTTAAAGATTTTTTGAAAAACAACCATGCCAAATTTTTAGGCTATTATTAGGCTCTTGAAATGTTATAAAACTTTTCTAAAAAATTGCTATTTTTAAGTAATACAGAGTGATTTTTTAAAACAAAGTCATCAGAGCACCTCTGTTTATTGTTTTTCCTTCTTCTGCAAACAGCTACTTATGCCACATGTTTAAGCTATTTTGTAGGATTTTAAAATATAACATTTTTCAAAAAAATGAGTATTTTTAAAAATACAGGGTGCTTTGCTAGCTTCGAACGAAACCAGATAACCTCGGTTCTTTAAGATTTTTGAAAAACAACCGTGCCACATTTTTAGGCTATTTTCAAGCTCTTGAAATATTATAAAACGTTTCTAAAAAAATTACTACTTTTTATTATTATAGGAACGAAGCCAGCAGAGCGTGTTTTTCCTAAAAAAAACGACGCCTCATTTAAGGCTATTTTTAAGCTTTAAAAATATAAAACATTCCAAAAAAAATTGCCATTTGTACAAAATACAACGTGCTTTACAACAAAGTCAGTAGAGTGCTTCGGTTTTTAAGTTTTAATAATTTTTTTTAAAAACAACTATCACGTTTTTGGCCTATTTTTATGCTCTCGAAATATATAATATTAAAAAAAAAAATAGTTAAACCGAGGTGATCTGCTGACTTTATTCCAAGAAAAGCCTGTATTATTTAAAAATAGCATTTTTTTAGTAAAGTTTATTATATTTCAAGAGCCTGAAAATAGTCAAAAAATGTGGTGTGATTGTTTTTAGAAAAAGCTTTAAAAAACTGGATTCGTTCCTAGCTAGCAAAGTTCCCTGCATTTTTAAAAATTACAAAAGTTTTATAGTATTTCAAGAGCCTAAAAATAGCCTAAAAGTGTGGCACACAGGGTTGTTGTTAAAAAAAAAAAAATTAATAAACCGATGTGCTCAGCTGACTTTGTTCCAACAAAGCAGACTATATTAAAAAAAAAAGCCTAAAAATAGCTTAAAAATTTGATGTGGTTGTGTTTAGAAAAAAAAAAAGGTTTTAAACCCGAGGTGCTCTGCTGGATTCGTTCGAAAAGCACGACACTGAGATGAAACTGATACAGGAGCTACTCAAATTAAATTTTTACACGCTTTTACTTCCCAAATCCCAAATTAAAATTTTGTATTTTACATGGGTGCACACTTTGTAAAATGCCCTGTATAATATTGGCAAATGGCAAAATAAAGGCTTGATTTCTAAGAGACGAAGAAAAAAAGCTATCCAACTCCAAAACCCGTGGTGAAATACATGCATTTTTAACATATACGAGTATATGGCAGTTTAAAATTTAGGTTCATTTTTAATTATTCCATAAATAATGGAGTGTATTTCAAGAGCCTAAAAATTTGGTGTCGTTGTTTTTTGAAAAAACAACTGAGGTGCTCTGCAGACTTCGTTCGAGAAGCTTACATTTTTTGAATAGGGTATAAAAATAGCCTTAAAATAGCCTTAAAATAGCCTAAAAATATGGCATAGGTTTCAATTCAAAATTGCCTAGGTGCTCTGCTGCCTTCTTTGACATTCTTTTGGGTGTCTGTCACAGGCGAGTCTATCTGTCTATCTCTCTATATATCTATTTGTTGGTCTGCTTTTTTGTCTTCACAATAAAAACTCCCAAACAAAATATTTCAAACTATTAAAGCTATTTGATTTTGCAAATGCCATTACGAATATATACCTACCGCAATTTTTAAATAAACATGTTTTGAGATTTTTAATTGCTTGGCAACTCTGTAATATTTTTTAATAACATTCTAGGGTTGAATACAGTATTACCAAACCATTCTAAAACTGAAATAAAATACAGAGTGTTTTGTTTAAAATATTTACATTTTTATTTGCCCGGCAAAAACGCAACACCCTGTAAGTCTAAAAATATTTTTAAAATATATTTGTTTTAAATCCATATAACTTCTATTTGAAATTTCTTTATGTGTCTATAACACAAATTGAAATATTGAACAATTACGAATTAATGGGAAACCCTGTATATAAAAGATACAGGTTTGAAATGTAATTTATTGTGAAGATATTTTATTCCCATGCAAAATTTCTGATTTGGAAAAAAATGAAACAAAAGGTCGTTATCTTTAAAAATAATTCTGGAAGGAAAGTTTTTCTAGAAAAAGTATTTTTAAAACATCAAATTTATATCAATTGAAAAGTTTTTTTTCGTAATTCAGTGTTAATTTTGATTTAAAAAACTCAAAAATAATTTGTATTTAAAATATAAGACACGAATATAATTAATAGTTTCCAAAATATCTGATCTAGGGTTTTTTATTAGGACCCCTTATATACATTTGTATGTACCGGGTGTCCAAATAAGAAAGGATATCGACTGTCGGATATAGCCTGTCTCGAAACTATGGATCCTAGATTTTTGGGATAAAAAAAATTAAACGGTGTAGCTAGACTTTCTAGAGGAACCGTTGGAAATTATTTTAAAGTTTCTAACTTTGACACTAGATGGCTTAATGCTTACGACTAATGATAAACAGATAAACGAGTTGATTGTAAAAATAGGGCTATATTACGATTTTCATAGTGTTGGCATAAAAAAAACAATTTTTATCATTGTTCATTTAATTCGCTAGCTCAACTAATTTTGAAAGGCACTTAAGAAAAACAGGGTCTTTCAAAATTAATAGGACATAGAGCTACCAGCAATTATTTTATTGTGAATATTTTTCACTATGACCTTTCTCCAGGGGCGTATTTATAACTCAGTAATTAAGGTTTGCACAAGAATTACTAAGGAGCAAAATAATTTCAAAATAGTTGTAAGATTGTAGTGGTGGTCTGTTTTTAACTGAATTTTATTGTCTAAAAAAGTAGGGGGGTCAAAGGGGTACAGAATCCTTTCGAAAACCTATAGAATTAAGACAATTTTTGAACACAATTTTATTAGTCACTGTATACTAATATCTCATATACATTTTCATAAAAATATGTTGAGCTATTTTAGAATAAATGCAAAAAATCACTTCTAAAATTCCTACTTTAACGCCCTATAAGTTTTTTACTATCAGTTATATGTACAGTCTGTTCGCTATACTTACGCGGGTTTCGGATTAAAATTTTTATGAGTATTTCCAGGTAAGTACCCGAAAGTTTGACCTGTTCTTTGGGGAAATATCAACTGGTTAAATGAAATGAAAAATAATTTACAACTTTTTAATTAAATAATAATGGAGAATCTTTTGTATAATTGAGAGCAGAATTAAACTTCTTCATTAATGGAGTCTAATGTGGCTATTATAAACCTAATAATAATATTATATTACACTTCACACAGAATATATGGTCTATGTATAATAAGAGGGTTATTTAGCTAAAATAAAATATTAAAATTTGTTCCATGTAGAGAATTTCAAATGAAAAATAAAAAAATTGAAGTTGCCAACAAAAATGAAAATCAGTCATTATCATCCAAAATATCATAATCGTCATCATCATCATCACTGTCATTACCAATAAGTGTTATTATGATTGGACTTATTTCGTTTATTTTATTTTCACGAGTAGTCCGCCAATCTTTTATTAGTTTCTTGCACTTGGATATACAGTTCCGCCATACTTCTGGAGTTGCAATTGAAAGTGCTTTTCGCCAAGTTTCCCGAACTGCATCGTTACTATAACCATTAGGCCCAATATGGCTGTCATAATATTGTTTTGCTATTCCCCATATATATTCGATGGGATTAAACTGGCAATGATACGGTGGCAGATGTAAAACTTGATGACCGTAACTTTCAATAATCTGATTCACAACAAAGGTTTTTGGTTTTGCGTGTATATTTGCCAAGCGTAATAATTCTGATTTTAATATATGTATATTGAGGAAATGGTATATGTTCCTTTGTCAACCATTCTTTAATTTTATCAACAGTCCAAGAATTCGTTGGACTTTTGTTTAATACTTCAGAATGGTAAGGTGCATTGTCTAAAATAATTACGCTGGGCTCACTTAAACCTGGGAGAAGTTTTTCATGCAACCATTTTACAAACATTTCTGTGTTCATATTATCGTGATAGTCACTGGATTTTGATTTACATGAAAATATTAAATCAGCACCTTCTATAAAACCCAATTTCCCTCCTGCATGTAAAATTATGTGTCGCTTCCCTTCTCCATCGGTATGTTTGATGGACTTTACGTTATCATCTTGCCATATTCTTTTGGTTGCACCCCTAGAAAATATACATGTTTCGTCTAAATATATAAAATTCGCCTCTTCTTCTTTAAATTTAAAATATTTTCTTAGAAAGTTAATTCTCTTGTGCATGACAGAACTTCTTTCACAAAGGGTCTTTCTGTTATCTTCCTTTTGAAATTTGAAACCCAAGTTATGTATCACTTGCCATAAACTTGTTCTGCCAATGTCGTCAAATTTTCTATCTATTAATTCCGAGAGAATTGTATTTAAGGTCACATGTTCCTTGTTGGCCCTTATTCGATAAATGGTATCACGAATTTCAAATTTCTTTCCATCTGGAATATCTTTCGTTTTCAATGATGAGCGAGTTTTGCGGTGATCTTCTTTCGGCAGTTCACTATTGTGATTTTGTAATACTCCTCTTAATTTGGTTTCACTAATTCCTAGAGCATCGCATACGCGTTGTTGTACAGACTACCGATTTAGTACCTACCCTGATGTTATTTTTATTTAAATCTGACCATTAGGGCAATTTTACCTAATTTCTTGGGAAGAGGCTTATTGGAACTGGTTGTCAATGACTAATTTGCATAATTTTGTTAATCCGAAACCCGCGTAAGTATAGCGAACAGATTGTACATAAACTAGTTAGCTTAATTTTCGATCCCAGAAACGATGGTTACATCTTTTTGTTACATCCTGTAAAATAAATAGGAGTTATAAATGTTTTATTATTGATTAGTCGTAGATAAAGTAGATAAATATTTTTTTGAACAAATTGTCATTCTCTTGCAGGTATCCAGTATAGACGATCTTGAAGATGGTAAGGAATACGTTGTGTGCGGTAAAGGTGAACTATTCAAAAAGATCGATTACACTAAAACAGACACTCTTAGGCCGAAACGTATGTCCAACACTAGGTTTACCATGCATAACGTTTCTGTGGTACCGAAAATTATCGTACCCGATTGCGTACGACCGAGGATCGTTACTATTATTAGGAATGGAATTAAACCAAGAAAGGTAAGTTTAAAATTATTAGTTCTAATTTAAACTAGGATATGATGGTCATGGAATTATAATAAGTGTCAGTCATCCATAATTACTATATTAAAACTTAACCACGACCGATTCCCGGCACATTTATATAAAATTGTTTTGTTTATACTGCAATATAAACCCTATAGTATATATTAATAATTTATTCTTAGAATGTAATAACATATCACCGTATTATATTAAAATTTAAATAAACTTTCCTCCCACTTCCACTCAATATATCTTCACTTTTAGTTCAATCAGATTCAGATAAACTAATTTTCTTTCGCTATTATTAAATTTGCTCAAAGTTTTAAAAAGAGATATTTAAAATAATATAAATTATTATTAAGTTTAAACTTTCTGTGGTAACTGGTAAATAGACTTGTATGTGTGATGCCATTCAGTCATTCAAAAAAAAAAAAAAAACATTTGTTAAAGTGATACATCCTCATTATCAAACTGGAGCAAAAGTTTCATTTTGTTTATTAACCCGAGGTTTGAAATTCAAATTTTTAGTTCACTATATTTCATTACGCTGTATTATAATTGTTAAAACATATTTTGTGATCGTTTAAATATCTGAAATTACTTCGGTTTTCAGATGAAAAAAGAAACAGATCCAATCTCAGGAATCGAGTACCTAATATTATTAATAATAATAATAAAAAAGAAAATTCCCCATAAAACTACTTTTTCAATAAAAAATAATAGTATATTATTTAACGAGCGGAAATGCAAGGTAATAACTCACGCAGATGAAATTTGCAGCACGAGCCGCAGGCGAGTGCTGTAATTCATCAAGTGAACTATGATTATTACCGCAAGTTGAATATTATACTTTATCTACGACTATAACAATACTAAGATTCAGAGCGCCACGGCAAATAATAATAATAGCCGTCCCTTTCTCCGCACAAGCTCAGCTTTTGGAGTTAAAATTCACTCGTAAGGGGGTGAATTAGGGAGAGTATTATTATTATTATTATTATTATTATTCAAGTATCGAGAAAGAACTTTATCCACAAATCTTAATGTAGTTATAAAAATTATATAAAAGATGTGATCTTCAGTAACAAGTCATTTTTCAGTGTTGTACAGGGTGTGAAAGAATACAATGAAAAAATATAATTTTTTAACTGCCTGCACCTGTTGCAATAGTAATTTCAAAACTTTCATCGTAATCACATTTAAAAGTTTTGGTCGATATCTCGGGACGTATTTGACAGTTTTGTCAAATATGCTAAGGATAGGTTAGCTTTTTCAAATTTGCGTTTCGTGCCATTCTATTGAAGTAAAATAAACTTATTTAAACTAAAATTGTAATTTTAAAAAATGCGACTTTTTGAAAATACCCTGTAACTTTTTTTCGAAACAAAAAAATACAAAACTGTCAAATACGTCCCGAGATATCGACCAAAACTTTAAAATGTGATTACGATGAAAGTTCTGAAATTACTATTGCAACAGGTGCAGGCAGTTAAACATTTATATTTTTTCATTGTACAACACTGAAAAATGATTTTTCTTTAAAGATCACATCAAGCCATTGATACAAGAAATAACAAATTTTCAGAATCTTCTCCATTTTTAAAAATCGGCTAAGGCGTTCCCGAGATACAGTCTCAAATGACGATAAAATTAGCTGTACCGACTAATTCCGTGAGCAGTTTATTTTAGCCCCCTTAATCCATAATTTTTATTCTGAATCAATAGGCTTTATCCCCTAATAAAGCTATATTTATCCTCAGGATTTCAATTTGATATCGTTTTTTGTTGCCGAGTTAGGTTTTTTTATAATATTTCAACCCCCTTGCCTCCCATTTTTATTCAGATTTTTTGTAAAATAAATAGGCTTTATTCCCTTAAAAAATTTGATTTTTTACTAAAAATTTCATGTTAATATCGCTTTTAGTGTTTGATTTCTATTTTTTTCAATTCAACCCCCATTTTGTTCAAAAATTTTTTTAAAATCAATATCTTTGTTTCCTTATAGAGTTTGATTTTTGCTAAAATTTTCAAGTTGATCTTTTTCCGTTTTTGAGTTAGGATTTTTTAATATTTCAACCCCCCTCAACCCCCCATTTTAACTCAGATTTTTCCTCTTTTGAACTTGATTTTACTAAAAATTTCAAATTGATATCGCTTTTCGTTATCTGATTTGTTTTTTTTTTTTTAATTTTAACCCCCCTTAACCCACACATTTTTAATCAGATTTTTTCAAAATCAAAGGGCTTCTTCCTCATATAGAGCTTGATTTCAAGTTATCATTTTTTTTTGAGTTAGGATTTTTTTAAATATTTCAATCCCCATTAACCCCCATGTTTATTTATTTTTTATTTCAAAATCAATAGGCTTCGTTCTCTTATAGAGCTTGATTTTTTCTAAAAATTTCAAGTTGATATCATTTTTTGTTTTGGAGATTTTTTAAATTATTTCAACCCCCCTTGTACGCTTATTTTTATTTATATTTTTTTCATCCATTGGTTTCATCCCTTTATAAAGCTTTATTTTTCCTGAAGATTTCAATTTGATATCGTTTTTTGTTTCCGAGTTAAGATTTTTTCAATTTTTCAAACCCCCTCAACCCTCATTTTTATTTGGATTTTTTCAAAATCAATAAACCTCATCCTCTTACAGAGTTTGATTTTTACTAAAAATTTCATGTTTAATTTATGATTTTTTTTTATTTCAACCCCCCTTAACCTACACATTTTTATTTAGATTTTTTTCAAAATCAACTGGCTTCATCCCCTTATAAAACTTGATTTTTCCTGAAGATTTCAATTTGCTATCGTTTTTTGTTTTTGAGTTAAGATTTTTTTCAATATTTCAACCCCTTTCAATCCTCTTTTTTTAATTTAGATTTTGTCAGAATCAATACTACCGTGTAAAGAGTATAATAATAGACAACAGAAGGGATTTTAATGAATTTGTAAATGCATAAGTGGATCGATCATAGGGCATTTAGACAGTTTTTTGCTAAAATAAATTCATATTAAAGTTGTCGATTATTATTATATTTAAAGCGATTATTTTTTAATTTTTGTTTTGTGTTTACACACAAATTAAAAATTATTCTTTAGGAATAAAATTGGGCTCCTGCTTTCCTTTCTAACTTTATAGGTAAACTTTTAAATAAAAATAGTTTTATTTTAAACACGGAATGCAATGAATAACCTTCAGAAATGTTTTTTCTTGCTATTCTTGATTATTATTTCAAATATCTCGCAGTTTAAACTAACATAATTTTGTTATCGACCTTCAAATATTATTAGGTGAGCAAACCGATGCAGCCATTTCGTTCATTCAATATACCTATCTGTCGATAATCGCTCAGTTAAGTTTTACCTTTTGTTAGTTAACCAATCATTAAATTGATTTGAAACAATCTGCCTCGGTGACCCCTATTATTTAATATTTATTAAGGGCCACTTTTTCGATCAAAGTTTAAACTGAATTCAGTAAATTAACTGGGTTCTATTAAAAGATGGTGTATTTCAAATGTAGATCACGCCTGAACTTAATTTACCAACAATAATTTCTTCTTCGTTGCTAGAAAAATTGGCGATCCGTCAATTTTTTACCATTTCGTACAATTTTTCATCTTCACTTTTATTGAGTATGTTTTTTTAAAAACTTCAAATTGATATAGAGCATTCATTTTTGTCAGAAGTCCCTCGATTCAGAACTACCAATATACATTAAACTTAGATCAACTGAACTGTGATACTGATGTGATTGAAAAACGCTATTAATGTTAATCTCAGTTCTATATTTGACCAAAGTTCAGGTGAACGAAAGTTAAAACTGTGGTTGAAAAACTGGCCCTTAGTAGTACTAATAATACAATAGTTAATATTGTAATACAACGTTTGAGCATCTACAATACAAAAAAAAAATATTTTCAGATATTTTTAATGTTGTTTCGATTTTATTTTATTAAATTTTCCGAACTTCTCTAAATTCTAAGCACCGCATATATATTCCTGACATATTATTTTTGGTGAATTTAAAAAACTCAATATTGAAAGATTAGTTAGTCGAAAAATCGTCGTTCCCGATAGCGTTCCAACCACTATTATTAGAAAGTGGATCGCATCGAGGAAGGTGAGTTGGTTTAACCCAAATATCGATTATTTTTGGGCCACTTTGCTTACAGATAAGATGATGAGTTGCGAAGTCTTCGGATATATATTTCAACGGAAATTTATGGCTTTTGATATCGCTGTGGGAGGAAGATTTATTGATATCGGAAAATATATTAAAACTTTCAGTTTTAAGGATTTTCTAGTATAAAATTTTATTTATATGCGTGTCACTGGGAATACCTCGTGCTATTTTGTCTTGACAATATTGAGAGCATTAAATTTGTGCTACAGAGATGTTTAAGAAAAATAGGTGGGAAAGCAATCCATTTAAACATTACTAGATATTTATTAAAACAAAAAGCAGCAAATTTTTATAGATTTAATACAGACTGGCGCGGAGATGTTTTTTTTAAACTCTTATAAAAAAATTCAAAATAAATATTTTTCGAAGGTTTATAAAAAAATCAACATTTCTCCACTCTAAGTTTTGTTATTATTGGTATATCCTGAAAATTTCACAAAAATCGGTCTAAAAATAGAGGCTTAGAATGAATTATACAGTTTTGAGGTGTTCCGTTTGCTCTTAAATTGCAGATTATTTGGAATAAACAATACAAATGTATAATTAAGGCATACATTAGGGTAGTCTGAATAGATGGGAACCTCAATGGTAAAATTCTGAGGTGATATGCTGCCTTCTATCAAATTGGAGGGGTACTAAATTCAATATGGCCGCTTTTGGCGGGCACATTGAAATTTAACTTTCTGGTAGCTGGTCAAAAATGTAATGAAGAAAATCAAACAAAAAACTTTTATAAAAATCTTTATTTTTATTTGTTTGATTTTCTTCATTACATTTTTGCCCAGCTACCACAAAGTTAAATTTCAAAAAGTCCAATCGCGGCTGCCATATTGAATTTTAGTACCACTCTAATTTGATAGATGGAAGCACATCGCCTCAGAATTTTACCATTGAGTTTCCCATCTATTGACATTAGCCTAATCTATGGTCCTTAACATCTGTCAGGATTTGAACTAGGATCTCCAGCTTATTATATTTCGGAAGTAGAACATGGGATTTTCTGTGACCTGATTGGAATCTTGGCTAAAATTGAGAACTTTATATTCAAAGCATTAATTTATACTGTTATAACTCTGTGTACACAATCTATCAATTAAATTGTTTTGACACGCTCCACCCCTATACATTACTAAGGAGTAAACTTTTTGATGTCTGTAACACCTGGTAAACATTCTATATACTCGTATAATCGAAAATTTTAAAACGTTAATCACGCGATCGTCGTTCTCTGCCAGTAACGATGACCTCAAAAAGCGAAACCTTATTGTTTGCTCCAAATTGAAAATCGGTTCAAAATCAGCCCTTATTAAATTCACTCATACAAAAATAATCAATAGCTTGATGAAACGAATAGTAAACACGTACCGTATATTCGTATTTGAATATAACTGTTTTGTTTATTTTGAATATGTTCTGTATTTAATTAATTTAAAGTAGATGAACAACGGTGTCACCTAGAGGTTCTATTTGGGGAGTGTTAAGATTTTTAGTATTGTCGCGCAAAGCCAACCCTATGCTTTGTTTATTACCGTACCGCATCAGGAAGTCTACGCTGCCCATATCAAGACAAACGTACTGCTTTTCGAAATTGCTGGAGTGATCGCTTTGCGGCGTATGAGTTATAGAGAGGCAGTTTTCGATCGTTCTGGATAGCCGAGAATGTTCTGGTACAGAGCTGGCTTTATATAAATAGCATTTACTTTCACACGATGTAAAACAAAATGACGGGGTTTCTGTTATTTTAAAATATTTGTTATCGTCCCCATATTTTATTAAATATTGACTGGCACCAGAAGATGGAACTGTGTTTCCGAAACATATGCCTGTACTTAAATTTTATAAAAAACAATAAACCATTGAACTTTTTATTTATATAAAATTCTACTACGGTCAGGAAATTGTCCTTTTTCAATAATTATTATAATGAGAATATTATCTGAAAACAGTTAAAAAATCACAAATACAAAATCCCTCCTAAAACAAACGCGATGTAAAGAAACAAACATCCTACTTATGGGTGACAAATGACAGGCGCGCGAAAATTAATTTGAATCGCGAATACACTATCAGCTATTTTATCGTATATTTAACTAATAATAATAATAATAAAATGTCTTTATTATAGGTATAGTAAAGAATTACATGATACATAAAATTAGGAAACCTTTAGGGATAGTTCACCTGCTCTTCCACTAAACCCTTATTCTATTTTAAATAACAATATTAATAATTACAAATAATAATTTTAACTCAAACTAACCTAACCTAACCTAAAATAAACATTTAGTATACGAGTCACCCAGAAAAAGAAAAGGAAACACGATTCTAAAAACAAATCAAATTTTTTTATCGAGTATTAACCTTGTCGTTTCGATTTTAAATTTAATTGGATTTATATTTTTGTAGCAGATGATTGTACAAGTAATATATATTATATTGAAAACCTCTTTCAAAAAGAGTTGTTATATGTATGGGAGGCGTTAACCAATTCTTTCTTTTTACGTTAATGTTATGAACATCTGTTCTAAATGATAACTTCTCATATAAATATGATGGAGTTTTGTACAAAATTGTTTTATGGTACAAACAAAGACAATATAATTTGTATCTTTCCGTCATTGAAAGCTATTTTAGATTTTTTAATTTGTGGGAAACTCGCTCATATTTTCTTATGCCATATATATGTACCTGTTGCAGGAATTCTGTACACGTTGCGCCCTGTTTATAGTCTCCATGTCAAGACAAGGGCCATAAACAGGTGCACAATAGAAAAACAATGAGTCTGAAAGCATCTTTTAAGTTGAAATACTTGAATAACTACGACGTGGATACAAAATTTTGAGCGCCGCATAAGCTCTTTGTATGTTACGTGTAACATGTTCTCGAAATCTTAGTGATTTATCTAGAAATAGTCCCAAATTCTTGGTACTGGAAGCGATTTTGATAGTTTCGCCAGAGATACTTAAAAGAATATTTTCATTCATAAAAGAACATTGGTCTTATTTCCAAACAAAAGTGCTACTGATTTTTTGGGATTTAGTACAAGATAATGTTTGGTAGATATATCTGCCATATAAGTAAGGTCTATAAGGTCATTGATCATTTGTATTGCATTATTAAACTTATGAAGTGGAAAATATAAGTACAATTGAGTATCATCGGCATACATATGTGTAGAGCAATTACGAGCGAGCTTAGTGAATTGACTAGTATATACTGTAAATAGTAGAGGTCCTAAAACTGATCCTTGGGGTACCCCAGAGGACACATTTCGGGGCAAAGACAATTTATCACCCAGTTTAAAACTTTATATTCGTTGGGGTAAATATGATTTAAATAAGTTGACTGAATCATGACACACACCACAAGACGTTAATATTTCATACAATGTTTCATGATTAATTGTATCAAAGGCTTTACTAAAATCTAACAATATCAAAATAGTATAATCGCCATCATCCCTAGCCAGAAACATGTCATCTGTAATATGTAGTAATGCTGTTGTACAGCTGTATCCAGCTTGAAAACCTTACTGTGGTGAAGGCAATATATTATTTTGTGACAGATGTTCACCAAATTGTTCAGCGATTATCTTTTCAATTAATTTTGAAAGACCACAGAAAATACTTATGGGCCTGAGATCAGAGAGTTCTTTAGGATTATTTACTTTGGGAATAGGTGTTTCCAAACTGTGGGAAATTGTGATGATATAAAAATACTATTAATTATATTTACAAGATATGGAAGGGATGTATGGGCAGCATAATTTAATGAGTGAAATACTTAGGTTGTAGAACCGGGAGAAGTATTACGTAATTTTAAAAGTGTCCTTTGAATAATTTCTTCAGAAATAAGCCTAAAGCGGAACTTATTTTGACAGATAATATTGTTTTTATAATATTGACCAAATGGACCATTATTAATATTCTGGGGCATACTGTTAACAAAGAAATCGTTGATAACATTGGGGATATAATATAAGCGGATATATGATTCCGTTTATTATTAGTTATGTCTAGTGATTTTAATTCTTTCCATAACTCTTTACCACTTTTATTTCTAGATATGTTATTAAAATAATCTCTTTTACGTTGTATGATTGTATTATTGACAAACACCCTATTTGACCTTGCAAGTCGTTCTCTTTAAGAGATATTGAAAGTGGTATTTGCTAGAAAATAAATATATTTTGATATAAACTAGTACCCCACCACCACGTTTACTTCCACTTCCGTCTTTTCTTACAAGTTTATATCTTTTTTTGGAGTGAGGGTAGCCATATGTGAGTAGTAGGGATTAAGTGTAAGGGTTAAAGAAAAGGTCCTTTATTTCTCACAAGTCAATTAAATTGACTTGTGAGAAATAAAGGACCTTTTCTTTAACCCTTACACTTAAGTTTATATCTATCAATTCCTAAACTATTAGATTGAATATATTTAGATAACCAACTTTCAGGTATTCCTAAAATATCAAACTTTTATTACTAATGTAGTTTCTTTAATTCTTGAATTTTTGGAACAAGTAACTGAATGTTTAGAAAACAACTTACTTATAATTTTTGCTGTGTGCTCTAATCAAATTTTGTTACAGATTTTACGACTACTTCTCAATAAGAGAAACTCTCCTAGCTTGGATCACGTTTTGAGCGTGTTATCGGAACAGGCTCAACTAGCCGTAAGAAAAGTGATTACCTTATCGGGTCAATCTATCAACGATCTCTCTCAGTTTTTCGAAAACGACGATGTTTTTTTTATTTACGGAAACGAAAAGCCATCCGTGAACGATCTCGAACTGGAATTTGAAGAAAGCAAAATGATTCAGTCGTATAAGAAGACCACGATACATAGAAATGGGTAAGACAATTTTTTATATAAAGAGTTTGGCTTTACATTTTTTCTTGTTTTTAATCTATTTAAAATTTCAATGAGTGTGTACAATATATCTATATAGAACATACTAGTACTTTTTTAATTATATTAAATTTAAGTTAATTTCTTTGTACCATCGTTTCAATATTATTGTTTAGTGGGGGACCCAAGCCTAAAATGCCCAAAAAGGAATTTAACAGAACGTACGAGTCTGAAGAGAGCCTATTAAAGAAATTAAGTGAAGACAGTAATTTACTTCTACCTCCTCCTCTAAAGAACAAATATACAGTAGGAAGAAAAGTTATAGGAGATGGTAAGATATTTTCGATATTTTAATAATATAAAATTTATTTTTTTAACTCCACAAAGACTCTACAAAGAATCTTTTATTTAAATTAGTTTTTCAGAAAGTACAAAAGAAATAATAAACAAAACAGTTTACAAATTATAACAACAATAGTAATAATAACAAAATAATTTAAATTAACATTGACCAGCACTGTTAGCACCTATTACAATTTATTTTACGATTATATACAGGGTGTCAATTTAGTGTTTATTTCCTCCACACTCCATTCACGGTTTAGACACGCAAACAATTTTTGAACAAGAGTTCTATTGACATTGTTTAAAAAATAAATATTTAGAATATACATTTTTCGAAATCTCCTTTTTTGAATGTGTAAAGGAGAATTTTTTTGGAAGAGTTTTGTGCCCAGGAATTACTAATTACTAATTACTAAATACTAATTACTAAATTATTAATTTTGGTCCGACTTGTGACTTCACTCATTATTATAATACATGTTTTTTTTTAGGAAATTTTGCCGTAGTTAAATTATGTAGAGACAATGAAACAAATAAGGAATATGCTTTGAAAATCATAGATAAATCGAAGTGCAAAGGAAAAGTATGTTAAAAAAATATTCTCCCAAAAATATTTGTATATATAATATATATTTTTAATTCTAGGAAGATATGATAGAAAATGAAGTTAAGATACTCAGGAAAGTTAACCATCAAAATATTATGGCTTTAATAGCGGATTCGGATACGAAAAATATTCTATTTTTAGTTTGTGAATACGTCTCAGGTTAGTAAAACAATCCTGTAGAGGACCCTGTGTAGCTCAATGACATTTTATTTAAATTTCGATAAAATAAATTTCCATCATTTTGAGACATCAACAATTTGATAAAAAATAGTGTTCATACCATCTTCAAAAACTATTATTAATACTTGATTATTATCCTTGATAGTTTATTATCATTTTTAGGTGGCGACTTATTCGACCAAATAACAATTGCTCAGAAATACTCCGAGGAGCAAGCAGCCTTAATGATAAATCACTTAGTCTCAGCCTTAGCCTATTTACATGGTATGAATATAGTACATCGGGATGTTAAACCTGAAAATTTGTTAGTAAGTTATTAATAAAATTCTACATTTTTCTTATCTACTCTTTTAACACTCGTACATACATGGTGTCAATTTATATATTTCCTATTGGCAATGTCAAAGAAATTTAAAAATATTCCAGATAATGCGGTCTACTGTCAGCTGTCAGCGTTTATTATTACGTCTTCCTATCGGCATTCTAATGAACAATATTTTGCAAAAGGAAATGGTCAAAAATTTGTTTATTTTTATATAATATACTAAATTGTTTAATAATCTTTCCAAACACCACGCAAGGTGGGATTTTTTTCTTGAAAATATTTTGTTGTCTCCTTACAAATTTCCAAAGAAACAACAAAATGTTCTCAAAATATTTTTACGACTTGTGGTATTACCCTTGAAAAAACGATATTTGATTTAAATTCTACTTTTGTGGTAATTCGTTCTTTATTTTGGTTAAAGAAGTGGTTGTTCAGAATAGTTTGAATAGAAGAAAATTATCCATTACCAAGAAAACCAGCATTTTTTTTAAATTTTATTTAATAGGTCGCCAAAACAACTGTATGTAGATAAATTGAGTATTTTGTATCTTTTGTCAAAAATATTCTATTCTCATGGACAAAATCATTGTTTTATTTTTTAAACCTAAAGAGTATGTAATAATTTTAGCAATGAGTATTTTATTATAATCGTTTGAAGGGAAAACATTTTAATTTTTCTATGATTTTTAGGTTGAATTACATAATAATAGAATTAAGCTATTAAAATTAGGCGATTTTGGATTAGCTTGTGAAGTAACGAGACCTTTATATACCGTTTGCGGTACCCCTACTTATGTAGCTCCAGAAATTTTGGCTGAAACTGGATATACACTTAAGGTAAGATATAAGATACCTATCTTTGTCCGTCATGGTAAACTTGTAAAAAATACTTTTGTCACACATTACGATCGGGCTTCAAATTGCGGCCACAACATATGAATTATTTCAACTTAGTACTCAAACAAATCTATTTTTCTGACTTACAATTAGTAAAAATAGATTATTTCTACTTAAAACTTGAAAAAAAAATCGATTTTTCTGACTTAGAATTCGGAAAAATCGATTTTGCTGACTTATAACTCGGAAAAATTAATTAATCCGATTTAGAACTCGGACAAATCCATTTTTCTGACTTACAATAAGTAAAAATAGATTATTCCGACTTAAAACTTAAAAAATGTCGATTTTTCTCACTTAGAACTCGGGAAAATAGATTATTCCGACTTAGAACTCGGAAAAATGAAATAACCCGACTTAGATCTCGAACAAATCTATTTTTCTCACTTGCAATTAGTAAAAATAGATTATTACGACTCAAAAATTAAAAAAAAATCGTTTTTTCTGTCTTAGAACTCGGAAAAATCGATTTTTCGACTTACTCGGAAAAATAGATTATTCTGACTTAGAACTCGGAAAAATGAATTAATTCGACTTAGAACTTGAAAACATTCATTTTTTTGACTTTTAGCTGGGAAAAATTAATTATTCCCTCTTAGAACTCGGAAAAATAAAATATTCCGCCTTAGAACTAGAGATTATTTCGACTTAGAACTGGGACAAATTGATTTTTCTGACTTAGAACTCGGAAAAATTAATATTTCTAACGAAGAACTCGGAAAAATTATTTTTTCTGACTTAAAACTCGGAACAAGAGACTATTCCGAGTAGTACTTATTTCGTTTTCAACCAGGAAACACATATAGAGGATATTTGAAAGAGAAACATTTTTTCTGTGTGTAAATATTGATAACTTCGATTTGATTTAGTTGAATTTGACGTACTTTTTTTATATAATACTTAGGCACTAACTCACAATTCTAATTTATTACAATTTATCTTTTCAGTCCAATACTTTATTATAAACTACTCGTCCGTCGACGAAATTGCGCTATTTATACAAAACCAATTCTGTACTCGTAGTTTCTAGACGCTCTCGAATGTCACCCGAAAATTCCATCTCTATGACTCAACGGTCACGTATTGCTTTTCTGGTAGATTCGCGAAGCAGAGCGTTTGTCTCTATACGTCGGCGGTGTTTCGACCACGAGTCGAGCTGGGGGCGCGCTCTACAGAGACGGCTTAGGCATCCCATGACAATACCATTTATTCTAATTCAGAATAATTTATTTTTCCGAGTTCTAAATAAGAAAAATCCTTTTTTCTGAGTTTAAAGGTTCTAATTCAGAAAAATCGATTATTCTGAGTTGTAAGGCGACATAATCAATTTTACTGAGTTTTAAGTTAGAAAAACCGATTATTCTGAGTTCCAAGACAGAATAATAAATTTTTGAACTCGAAAAAATAGAATATTCCGCTTTAGAACTCAGAATAATCTATTTCTCTGGCTTAGATCTCGAGAAAATAGATTTTTCGAGTCGTAAGATGATATAATTCATTTTTCCGAGTTTGTAAGTCGAAATAATCTATTTTGTCGAGTTGTAAATTGGAATAATCTACTTTTTCGAGTTCTAGATCAGAAAAATCAATTTTTTCTAGTTTTAAGTCAGACAAATCGATTTTTCTGACTTCTAAGGCGAAATAATCAATTTTTTGAGTTGTAAATCTGAATAATCTGTTTTTCCGAGTTGTATGGCGGAATAATATACTTTTTCGAGTTCTAAGACGGACAAATTGATTTTTTCGAATTTTAAGACAGAAAATTCGATTTTTCTTACTTCTAACTCAGAATAATCTATTTTTCCGAATTCTAAGTTAGAAAATTCGGTTATTCTAAGTTCTAAGGCGGAATAACTCATTTTTCCGGGTTTGTAATTCCAAATAATCTATTTTTTCAAGTTGTAAATTGAAATAATCTACTTTTTCGAATTTAAGGCAGAAAAATTGATTTTTGTGACTTCTATGTCGGAATAATCCATTTTTCAGAGTTTTGTAAGCTAAAATAATCAATTTTTTCGAGTTGTAAATTGGAATAATCTATTTTTTCAAGTTTTAAATCAGAAAAATCGATTTTTCTGACTTCTGGAGCAGAATAATCAATTTTTTTTCGAATTGTAAGTCGGAATAATCCATTTTTTCGAGTTTGTAAGTCGAAATAATCAATTTTTTTTGAGTTGTAAATTGAAATAATCTACTTTTTATCGATTATTCTGATTTCTAAGGCGAGTTTTAAGTCGGAATAATCCATTTTTCCCAATTCCAAGTTAGAAAATTCGATTATTCTGAGTCCTAATGCGGAATAATCTATTTTTCCGAGTTTTAAGTCAGAAAAATCAATTAATCTAAGTTCTAAGACGGAATAATCTATTTTTCGAGTTTTAAGTCGAACGAATCGATTTTTTTAAGTTCTTATTCGAAATAAACTATTTTTACAAGTTCTAAGTCATAAAAATATATTTTTCTGTGTTCTAAGACAGAGTAATATATGTGGGATTTCGGATATTAAGGGCATCACCATCAGACATTGTTATGACAAAACACTACATTTCTGTTGGGTTCTAATTAACAGTGCTGTGGCTAAAGTGGCGCTGGGAAACAGTAACAAAGCCTACACAGAACACGAGGCTAATGACCTTAGCAGTCGATGCCGATGACACCAAATAAAAAAAAACACTTGTAAAGCTTGTTAATGCAATATAGAATAATAAACAATGTTGACAACACTTTAAACGACGTTACACCAATAATTATTAAAGAAATACCGATAATAATACGATATCAAGAAATGATACTAGCGATCCGGAGCCAGCGTACCTTCGCCCGATCGATCACACTTCTCTACTCTGTTCTCGTTCCTTATTTTTAACAGACTTCAAAAAAGGAGGAGGTTATCTATCAACATTCAGCTGGCTCCGTTCCGCTCATCTTGCCCCTCATTATGCATGGCAAGTGTGTATTATTTTTGCTAAGTCATCACTTATAAAAACCAAGTAGAAGCTTACAACTTATCTTATTGAAATACCGACTATCAATAAATCAAACTTCTTAAAACTATAAACAAAATAATAGTTAAACATCGGTGCTGCCGATATATATTTTTTCTTAGTTCTAATTGATTTGTCCGAGTTCTAAGTCAGAAAAATCGTTTTTTTTTTAAGTTCTAAGGCGGAATAATAAATATTTTCGACTGATAAATCAGAATAATCTGTTTTTACGAGTACTCAGTCGGAATAATTTGTTTTTTAGAGTTCTAAGTCGGAAGAATCGATTTTTTGATTTCTAAGTCGGACTAATTAATTTTTCTGGGTAATAAGACGAAAAAATGCGTACAAAAATATTGTGTCCCTTCTACGCTTTCGTAAGTTCGAAAAGCTAAAGTTTAAATTTTGATATAGTTCGAAAATCAAACTTTTAAATTTTTAAAAAAGTTCGGAAATCAAAAATTCGATTGGAAAAGCAAATGATCGAAATCACATGATCGAAATTATAAATAATTCAAATCAAATGTGATCGAAATCAAATGTGATCGAAATCAAATGTGATCGAAATCAAATGTGATCAAAATCAGATTTGATCGAAATCACATATGTTCGAAATTATATAAGATCGAAAGCATTCTATAAGAAATTAGTTATTTTTTTTTATTATTTTTGTTTTATGTATAATTTTTTTACGAAGTAACTCGCGATGTTTCCAGTTTGCACAGGTTAGGTAAATTAGTTTAATTTTTTTTTTAATTTTGTAATTTATAATTTTATAATTCGAACTTGTGTTATTAGAACTTTTCTCACCAACTCATAATAATTTTAAAGTAGACTATGACCGACAAAGGCTCTGAATTAAATCTAAACTGACACACTTAAAAAGAAGAATTGTACGCTTTGAAATACGTGAAATTTTGTAGTATTAAATCTGTAAATTAGGTAACTGTTAAATATATTGTGTTGTCCACTCGGCCATATAAAATTAAAAGTAATAATACATATTTTTGAAATTTCTGTAAATGCCGCCCTTAGAGATGATAAAGTTTATTTCACAGCATCTATAACTATTTCAAAAGTTTATTTATGCATTGATACACGATTGTATAGGAGGTAATTTTAAATTGTACCTATTTTATACAGGGTTGTTCGGAAGTTACAGAAATTAGATTTATATTTATTTATAGTTAATGTAGCTCTGTTAAAATTATATTACAAACTATTTATACCTTCCTTTACCTTTAAAAAAGTTGTCGAGTCGCCACTGGTGGCATGATACGCCATCTTATCGGAAGAAGTAATTATCATCGGGATAAAGTTGTTATAAACATAGAATAAAATATTTAAAATGTGATAACACGTATTGTGATCTTGATTTTAAATAATTTTAGTAAAATTTTGTACCATCCGAAATTCATGTTGTCAAAGCTCACAAAATATCAATTTTTCCAATGTTCCATAAACAATTTTCAATTTAATTACAGATCGATGTTTGGGCTGCAGGAGTAATCCTATACATTCTCCTTTGCGGCTACCCGCCCTTCGTTAGCCAAGATAACGACCAAGAAAGACTATTCGATTGCATCCTCTCCGGTCAGTACGAGTTCCCGGAAGAATACTGGCAAGACGTTTCGTCATCGGCGAAGGAACTCATCCAGAACATGCTCCAATTGGATCCCGATTTGAGATTTTCCGCAGAAGACGTGTTAGACCATCCCTGGCTCCAACCTGCTATTTGCTAGGAAACCTTTTTTTACACGCATTTTTAACATATATTTTATTCGTTTTTTACTTGTTTGTGCCCGTGTAATGTGAAAAGCAGGCAGGTAGCTACCTCAAAACAGCAGGAGTTTACATCATTGGAAAAGATGGAAAGTATAAAAAATAGAAACAAATATTAAGTACGTTGTACTTAATGATAAGTACGTTGTACTTAATAAAGGTTTTAACTTTGAATGAGTATTATTTGTAGATTATTTAGTGTAGCCGAAAATTGTGACAATAGAAACGCGAATTTTGGTAAGTAAATAAAATTATTCTTTAATAAAAGGGTACCGTAAAAAAATATGCTGGTAATTTGATGATAATTTTGTAAATTATGAGAATAATATAGTATTATCACAAATAAATAGTTTTATTTAAATTTATTAATTTGTTTCAATTTAATGGTTTAATAAAACAAAGCCGTCATTAAACCTTAATTCATTTAAATATCAATGTTTTCAAGTTATTTCAGTATTTGAAGGTTTACGGTACTCATTTCGAAATGTAAGGAAAATTTTGACGTATAAAAATTAAAAATATGTCAAAATCTGCACTCAAACATTTCTTGGGGTTTTCTATGTTCTTTTGTTTAATTTTCCTTTACTTTACTATTATACCTTTATAGGTTGTTGGATGCTTGCTCAATAATTATTCTTAACTCAATTATTCCACCATTCCCTTTATTTATTTTATACTTTTAGTTCACATGAAGACTTGAGCCCACTTTCTCTCATGAGCGGTCTTCCTGTTCCCAAAATATTTTTAACTAAACTATTTCCATTCATTTGTGTTACGTGCACATATCAGTTTGGTAATTTTTGTACCTAAATCCTCTTGTACTATTTCTTTCCTTTTTTACTATGTCTTTTTCGCTATTATACATCTCGTGTGTAACATTTTAGAGGAAAAACAATAAATAGTCTTGGTTGCTTAATAGAGCCAATTATTTCTAAAAAATAATATTAACCCCATTTAGCCCCACGTTGGGCGCCAAATGTTGTGACGGGGCTCGTATATGCTTTCAATTACTTTTATAATTTTTTGGTTAATTTGTTCTAATTATTTTTTGCATTAAAACCTTATGAATGTTATAATTAATTCTTGGGCTTGTTAAATTTGTCTATTATATTTTTCTTGTATAATTGCTGACATTTCCAGTTTGAATTCATCCTCGTTATATTTAACTTATTCTATTTAATCATCTAAATTAATGTTAAGTCCTTGTTGATGAAAAAAATGTTGGACTTTCGCGAGTTCTAACTTCGCCTAATTTTATTTGTAATATTGTAGACATACGGTCTCAAATCAACACCTCGTGTGTAACATTTTAGAGGGGAGGGACAATAAACAGTTTAGGTTGCTTAAGGTTGCCAATTATTTGATAAAAAATTAATATGAATAACCCGTCAATGCAGTGGAATTTCCTCACGTTGGGCGCCAAATTTGTAGTGCTAAATTTGTTTTGACGGGGCTCGTATATGCTTTCAATTACTTTTGTAATGTTTTGGTTTATTTCTTCTAATTGATTTTTGTATCAAAACCTTATCAATGTTATAGATAATTCTTAGGCTTGTTAAATTTGTCTGTCTATTATATTTTTCTTGTAGAATTGCTGAAATTTCTATTTTGAATTCATTTTAGTATTATTTAACCTATTCTACTGAAAGTTCGCCTTATCAAATACGTAATAATTATACACAATTAAGCAAAAGGACATTTAAGACAGCCATACAATTTGTATTGATGATGGGTCTATTAATAGAACGTTTTTGTATTTTTTGTTTATTTAATTCGCTGTGCAAATAAAATTTGATAAAATCAAAAATTTTCGGCTCTAATAGAAAAAAAGGACTGTCGCATGTAGGAATCATATCAGTCTTGTTGAAAATAAACATGGCTTTTATAAGACTGTTTACATTGTTGTTATTAATCTGTTATGTCACTTGTCATAGCGTACTTAAAAAATAGCAATAATTGTTGTTGTCGTTAATTTAACAGATAAGGGTTATATTTTCAGTGCATATTTCTAGACTGATATAATATACGATTAGTAATTAACATTTTTTTGCATATTATTTGGTTAAAATGATATACACTGCTCAACAATTGAACTAAAAGTGATGGGTCGCTTGGAACGTTCACAGATAGTCTGAAAAGTTGATTTGTCCAAACACTTTTTAAAAAGTGAAAATGTGTATTGCGCATGCGCGAAATGAAATTAACTAATTTGTCTTAATTTCTTACATGCAAAGGCAAAATATAGTTTAAAAAAGAAGAAATGATTACTGACTTATATGTTTTAACGGTGTTTTCGAATTTTTGTTTGATATTTTATTAAAATACACTGATAAGCAAAAAAATTGAGGACTTCTTAAAATTTTCATGTTCTTTGAAATTTTACTTTTTCAGATCGTATTCGCAAACTGTACATCATTGCATGTGCTTTTGTAAGCTGAATGTGATACTCTATACTAAACAGAAATGCATTTTTTTCTTGGATTTCATGATTTATTCTGAAAAAGCAACAAATTAATATTTTGGGCGAAATTCAACATTTTGTTGTTAGGGAAAATATGGAAGGAACAAAATAAAAAAACTTGATACTAATAACGTGCATTCCCTCCTCTTGCATTGATGACTGCTTGAAGCCGGCGCGGCATACTTTGAATTAAGCTGCTGATCACATTCTGGTCGATGTTATCCCATTCCTGCAACAGCAATCTTCTCAGCTCCTGGGCAGTTCTTGGTGCTGGTGTGTGTCTGCGGATCCGTCGTTCCAACTCGTCCCAGACATGTTCTATGAGATTCATGTCTGGGCTGCGGGCTGACCAGTCAAACCGCCTAATTTTTACTTCATCTAGATACTCCCTGATAATTCTGGCTGTATGTGGTCTCGTATTATCTTGCATAAAAATGCCACGTTCCCCCATAGTCACCATGAAAGGCATAACATGGTCTTCTAGCACCTCCGTAATGTACCTGTGAGAGGTTAGGGAGCCATTTTTTATAAAGATCAACTCTGTACGAGCTTGTGCAGTGATTCCCGCCAAAACCATAACTGACCAACCGCCAAATGGAAGACGCTCATCAATGCAAACTTCAGCATATCTTTCCCCAGGTCTTCTCCACACTCGTCGACGTCCATCTGACCCAGTGAGGTAAAAACGCGACTCATTTGAGAACAATACCTAGCTCCAGTCATCATCATTCCAACGAACGTGATCTCTGGCAAATGTCAATCTTGCAGTCCGATGCTGGCGTTGCAACGGGGGACCTGTAGCCATTCTTCTGCATGACAGTCCAGCAGCATGAAGTCTTCTTCTAACGGTCCATTCACTAACGTTGACATTTCTCACTTTTTCCAACTGATTTCGCAGTGAAACCGCAGTAGCTATCCTATTCCGCAAACTTGTGAACACCAAAAAACGGTCATTTCGTTGAGTGGTAACTCTTTTTCGACCAGACCCTGGTCTTCTAGTGATCAGGCCAGTCTCCAGAAAGCGCTGGTACACCTTTTGTACACCACAAAGACTAACACCAACAATTCTTGCAGTTTCACGTTGCCCCCGATCTTCTTGTAACAGCGCAACAATTCTTGCCATAACAATCGGATCTAAAGGCACTATGGGCCTTAGACTGGGCCAAAAAAATAAAACAATTTTTATTCTTAGCGGAACTATGAAAATATTGTTCATGACGACAAAAAAAAAATCCTGAAAGTTTGAGCCCTTAATAATAATTATTAAGAGGTGCATCATTGCAGTTATTGATTTTTCAACAGTTGTCGCGTTTTTGCATAAATTTCGGATTTGGTCAATTTTAAAAAAAATTTTCATCTCTTATCCTTGTAGGAAATTAAATTCCCCACAAAAAAGCTCTCTTAGTAAATTTTCGTAAGACGAGTCTATTCTTTGTAATCTTAATATTTAAGTTCATTTTGGAAATCCCAAATGCAAAGTGAAAAATTGAAAATATATATACCAATGTTTAAGGCTCGATTACAAAGAATAGACTCGTCTTACGAAAATTTACTAAAAGAGCTTTTTTGTGGGGAATTTAATTTAAGATATGAAAAATTTTTTTAAAATTGACCAAGTCCGAAATTTATGCAAAAACGCGACAACTGTTGAAAAATCAATAACTTCAATGATGCACCTCTTAATATTATTATTAAGGGCTCAAACTTTCAGGAATTTTTTTTGTCGTCATGAACAATATTTTCATAGTTCCGCTAAGAAAAAAAATTGTTTTATTTTTTTGGCCCAGTATAATGGGCCTGTTAAATCACTACACTTTGCAATCGTTAGGTTTTACACAGAGAATCAACAGTAAACTGGAAAACAGGCAAGGGAAATGTGAATGTTCAATTAGCATAAAGGCACATTTTTCATAAAAGTCGTACAAACAGGGGGCCTTTGTATTCTAATAAATCAAATGACAGCTGTCAAGTCTCGGACAACAATTTCTTTAACGCCTACTAATACTATTATGTCCTTATCAATATTGACGCTAAAATTATTCGCAATTTCTGAAGTGACCTCAATTTTTTGGTCGCCAGTGTAAAAACGTGAAAAAATGACCAAAAAGTCCCAAAATGTTTTTGAAAAAACAGTCAGAATGGAGAAACATTTAACTGGGTCTTTTATGTCCGAGGTCGATTACTTTTCATTGGGACTTTTCAATATTTTCCATATTTTTTTCCAATACTTTTTTCCATTACTTTTTCCAATACTTTTTTCCAATACTTTTTTCCAATACTTTTTTCCAATATTTTTTCCAATACTTTTTCCAACCCTTTTTTTCAATACTTTTTCCAACACCTTTTCAATACTTTTCGCTACTTTTTCGGACATGTTGGTCGGACTAGTCCAAAAATTACTTTTCATGAAAAATCCCATTGCTAAATAATTTGAATTTATTTTTTTTTAATTCAAAAATTTTAAGGCAATTGAATTGGCCCTAACATACTAACATTACA